CAAGAAATTTTGTTCGAGGTAAATAATAAGCAGCAGACTTAGAACTTGGAGTTCCTAATATCCAGTCACTTGTTTTAGCAATAAAACATTATTTCAATAGTCTGAAATATAACTTAGGAATTTTAAGTTAGAATTAAAATAGGAAATCAACAAAGTAAACCAGAGTTAACTACAGTGAGGGAAAACTAGGAGAGCTGTCAGCACACTTCAGTTATTTAGACAAGAAAGAGTTTAAAAAGAGTCTAGAATATTTCCAAACCTATTCGCCTGTTATAGAAGGGAAATATTAGTAGCTGAAGAGGGCATGAAAGAAGTGTACCCAGGTAAGAGTGATTTTTTGCTTCCACAAACATAAAAATTAAAATTGTATCTGGAAAACATTAAGTGCCATCAGACACTGGTGCAGAAGCATTAGATTAGTGCTTGCATCTTGTAATATTTCCAGACATGTCTCAGATGAATGAATCAGCTTCTCACGTAATTAATCAAATTAATTCTTCACTGGGAGTAGGCAACAATGTACTATTTAGCTAGATATAAATAGTAGCATTATGAGTTTCATTTGACTCTTACTCACTGTTGCATGTTAAAAGGTGTACATTAATGATTCTCACAATCTGTTTTTGTTTACATACTCAAAAGACAATAGCTAAGAAATCAAAACAAAATATGTTTTGCTTTCTATTGAAAACTGTTAGGGAAATGAAGGGAAAACACCCATGGTGCTTGCTGATCAGTTTCTAATAAAGCAACACTGGAATAAGTTAAGTTTCACATGTCTTTGTGTGTTTTGCCATTGATTTAATGGAATCAGGATCTTACACAAGGAGGAGCCAGGCCTGAGTAAAAGGAATTTTTTGTCCACTTGCCAGGGTTTTTTATTATACATATGAATGATCCTGACTTTGTGTACATGTAGGTGCCATAAAATATCAATTCTATGAAAGCAGCATTAAATTTGTTCCATGTGATCAAAGCAATGAATATCAGTTATCCCAGTTACGGCAAAATATACAGGGAAATACTATTTCACATTTTATTTCAGGTAACTTTTCAGCAACCAAATGTTGGCATTATTTGCCTTCACCAACATGATCTAACTTTGTAGCTACTCCTGCTTTGAGAAGGGGTGTTGGCCTAGAGGTCAGGAAAGGACTCCAAAGGTCCCTTCCAACCTAAATTATACAGTGATTCTGTTTACAAATCTTCATTACCATTACACAAAAACATAACTGCCCACAAATATGTAAACCATCTGTTCCATTTCTCTTATTTCTGTTAGAATAAATGCATCTTTAATTATAATCTTGTTCTTCACAAGCATCTTCACATTCCATATGTACTCACTAACTGGTGTTTTGATTTGAGTCCCATTAGGCAATGACTCACTGTGTGTTGTCTGATGATGACGTTTAAAATGGGGGATCTTTGAGGATCTTTGGAATTGGAAATATGTTTGTTGAGCTTTTCCCCCTCCAATTTAGACTGGTCCATTCTGCTGAGTGATGATGCAACTTGAAGCATTAGATAACAATGTGGAAAACAATATGCCAAAGGAGGTAATTCCTTTTTTATTGTACCTGTTTTGACATTCCATCCTAGCAATTATTTTTAATGTTTCAATTCAGATTCATTATTTATAGTCATACTAATAGCAAAGTTGGCATTCACTTCAGTAGTTACTCTCACGTATTACATCTCATGTATTTATCTACAATCAAGTTCATCTCAGTAGCAGAGCCTCATTTGCCTATAGAACTATTGTCTTTATAATCTCACACAGATTTTACAATGTTTTTTGCTGCATCTCTGTCTGGTAACTATATCAGCAGTTTGCTAGGATGTTTACATAGGAAGGTACTCTAAATAGCTAGTTAACTCACTTTACAACTTAACTGTGTTTTATTCTCTACTTAGCATCTTTTATCTAGATCCAGCAAAAGACTTGGGCACTCGATGGTGTTCAATTTTCAGCCTATGGAGTGGAATTCATATGCCTGAGACAGGTGCCTATGTTCCTTATACTATACACGAGAGAAGAGTGCAAACGTAAATGTTTAATCTGTTTGGTAGTTGTCATTAGTAATGCTGATTACACAGTCTAGCTGGCCAATGCTGTGCTTCAAGAGCTATAGCAGTAGAGGTTAAGCAAGACCTCAGGAGGTAAGTACAGGCAGCATCAAGAATGGGTCATATCCTCAGTATATACACAGTATCAGTATTACTGCTAATAGCAGTGCTGGCAGACTTCCTCCTGCTCATGAGAAAAAATCGGCGGGAGCAGTTGTGCCAGTGGATGTTTCTGGGCCATTTTCTTTTCAATAGAAGCTGGCATTATCTTTAGTGATGCCGCTACAATGATCAGTCAAACCCTTCAGCACTACCAAAGTGCTCATGGGAAGAAAGGGCAAAGAATAAATGTGGTTCTCCTTGATTTCCTGTAGGGAAACCCCTATGTGCAAAGCTTTCTGAAAGTTTGTAAATGTTGTAACCAGGGCAAAGTACTTTTTTTTTTTTTTTTTGCAGTGGTGCTGGCACCTCACAGCAGCTCCACTAGTCAATGCATCCTCGTCAGACCAGTTTCAATGAACCTGTAACAGCATCAGGAGGGTTCCTTGCAGAAATCCATAGAGAAGCCTGTAGCAATGACCAGTGTTTGTGGGTTGGATGCCTTTGTAATTGTGGGATCAGTTCTGCACAGGTCTCCATGGAAGCATCCTTCTGCATCCAGAAGTTTCTGCCATTCCAGGTCTGCAAGACAGTCATTTCCACGCCATCCCCACTAGTTAAACTGTTGTGAGTGCACAGGGGCTACTTCTGGAGGAACTCCTCCCCTTCCATCACCTCAGCGTTGGCATGCCCTTTAGAGGTGCTGCCCAATACGTGCACCCAAGGTCAGTGCAAGTTGCCTACGTTTAGGAGCATAAGGGAACTGGCCGCTTGAGAGCCTAAAGCCCTTGCAATATAGCATGTGCTGTGGGTTATCTTTCCCTGCGCTTTGGGGTAGACCATACCAAATATGAAGTTTACTCCAGGTTTACACCAGTTTACCTGTTTTTTTAATTAATGTGTCACAAAAACCCTGGGACAGAAGATAGGGAAAGTTTCACCGTGTATGTGCCAAATCACAGAATTGCCACAGCTAAACTTTTTGCTTACAGAGCATTGACAAAAAAAGTTACTTTTTCCTAATAATTTATAATAGGGCTCGTGTTCAGAATATTGTGTTTTATCAAAAAGAGGTGATCATGACAAACTTATTTAAACTGGAAAAAAATAAAGCAAGCCCTTCAGCCTTCTCTAATTTTTCAGATGACTGAAAAAATACTAAAATTCCCGGAATCATACGGTTGAATCAGCAACATACAAATTCATTAAAATGTCAGTCTTTGTTTGGATAAAGCCCGCAGTCAGTCAGTTGTAACTGTAATTAGTTCTTGAAGTCCTCAAGACACCTTCAGCAGCAGTGGCCACTGCGTGACATCTGGTGGCCACAAGCCAGCATAGCAAGAACATCGCCCTACTGAAATTGCAGTGTGCCACCCACATCAGGTAAAAACACATTTTATCCGTTTTCTTTCAAATGTTAACTGCCAAAATAGCAGTTGTAATGCATTTGCAAGTTGTACGTCTTGCCACAGAAGAACCCGGCTGTGACAACTGCTAGTGCGTGACACATACTAGCAAGGAAGCCATGACACAGATGTTCCTTGCAATTACGATGTTCCCTCCCACCTGCAGAGTGCCGTCCTTCCTGTTCGCTCCTACAGTTGTAGGACATCGAGACGGGGATTTGCGGAGTGGCAGAATTGCAGCAGATGTCCTTTAACATGCAGAGGTGGAATTCACCGTGAACTGGCACCCACTGGGCAGATAAAAACTGATCCAGAACGGTGCTCTGGTATTGCAGATGTCCCGGGTGGCGGCAGGTACTCCTCACCCTCCCGTGATCACGGTATAAAATCGTGGCGTATAAAATCCACCACATGAAGAACAGGAAAAGAGAACAATCGGGTAAGAGAGAACTGAGAGCTGAAGCGGTTAGATTGCGCTCAAAATCCTCAAAGAGCGTTTAAGCCCGAGAGCACCCAAACCTCGCAGCATTAACGTTCTCTGCCCCCCCCCCCCGCGCTGGCAGAAGGGGGGCCGAGCGACTCCGCTGTCGCCTCAGGAGCGGGCCCAGGCCCGGGCCCGGTCACAGCTGCAGCCCGGCGGCCCCGCTCCTCCGGCCCTGCCGCTGCAGCTCCGACAGCGCCCTCAGGGGCCGCCGGCCGGCCGCCCCCTCGCAGCGGGGACGACGACGGGGAGGCGGCTGCGGGACCGACCCATCCCCACCGCCATCTCGGTGCCCGGGGCAGCCGCGGCGGCGGGGGAGGCCCCGTCACAGCCCGCCCTAAGGCCCCGCCTCCGCCTCCTTCCCGCCCAGACACCTCAAACCCGCCACGCCCC